CATAAAATATGTACATACATTTAAAAGTGAACAAAGAAAGAGGAACAAATCTATACTTCCCTAATTGCAAGGAAAGATGAAAAATTCATATTCCTTAAAACAATGTTAGAATATAAACCAAAGGTTTTTATTGAATGACCCTATATGAAGGCTTACAGCTCTCCTTATAGAAAAATGAGTAAAGCAGGGGTTTGATCAAGTTTGCTTTGCCTGTAAGGATTTAATCAAAAACTTCTTGAAACTTGTCATTCTTGATCTTTTCTCTGAAACAAACCCTAGTAGAAGGGTAAGCTTATCTGATACTTTCTGCTATATGTTTGCCACTGTTTCTTGCTCTACCTGTTTGTTGGCTACCCTGAAATGTGTGACTTCTTTAAGGAATGAGGTTTTGGATACATACTTGAACCCAGAAGCACTCCTCTAACACAGTGGTTGTAAGAATATTCTAGAGGAACCTTCGATAGAGAGCTATTTAACTAAGAGTTTATCAAAAGGATGTTAGAAAGTATATGTTAAGAAGCACAAGTAAAGCAGAGTGATAGCTGTATATATGATCATGATATAAATACCCAAAAAAGGCAGAAACAGAATTTACATGTGAACTTCTGGAGTTTAGAGTAAGCTTTTATTCAGGATACAGCTTTAGTAAGCTTGCTATATCCAGGCTTGAAAAAGATGCTTACACAAGTATATGCCAATTAATAAACACAGTTTGTGTGTAGGTAATCAAACAAAACATTGCATAAATGTTCTTTTGAAAATCTGTGATGAGCAGCTGTATCTATTGACTGCTGATGCTCTTTTGGTCTCTGTTGGCACACCAAAGGAGAAAATAGCCCACAGAGATTGCATTCACCCCACATCCAGAGGGTTAATTCTTCCAGAGGAAGGAAACACTAGTTAGGAGATATTTACCTATACCTGTGAAGGCTTTAGTCTTTGGTGTCATTCATCTGTTAGTACTTGAAGACAGGAAATTCTCTAAGATCCTCAGACGAGCCCTGTTCTGGCTTTGTCTTGGGGCATTAAAGAAAAGTACCTTTTATTCCTTTTCTGGTAACATCATATATTTTAGCTTCTATTAAGGACGAATAAATTCAAATTCTATGTAAGGAGAAAAAGCCATGATCAGTCAAGTGCATATGCCAGTTCCTTTAGTATGTGTACACAGGGACTGACAGAACTTTGAGTATAGGGATATGACCCTTAAGAGAATTCATCACTGAGTTAGCCAACATGGCAAATTGTTTTGAAGATCAATAAAGCAGAAAATCAGAAGTGGAAGCCTCCATGATTATACTAAATAGTTCAAATGAGAAGAAAGAATGCATTCGTTTTTCTTTTCAAGCCAGCCAAAACACTTCAAGTATTTGAGTGCAAGTCTGTGGAATGCAGGCGCTTTGCCCACATTGAAAATGAAGTTATAGTGAACTTTCTTTGAACAGCCATAGTGCTGTCAAGGCTATGGAAAATGATTTGACTTTGATTTTTCTCTTTGATTAATGGAAACTGCTCACTTTGATCAAGTAAGCCTTTGAAAAAATGCAGCTTTCTTATTAGCATGATTGTTAGATACCCAGATCCCAACATACAAATGCTTTTGGTGTTAGTGGGGAACGGGCCATGCTCAATCCACTGCTGCTCGATTGCTTCAGATCATGCATTTTACAGGACTATCAGTTACTCTTCTAGCAGATACTGTTCCTATATTAAAGAAGGACCAGGAGTGGCAGGAAAACTGATCCAGGCAACAGTAGAGCCATTAGTCTGACTCAAAAATGAGCAAAGGTTTAGAATAGATTTTAAAGGAAAGAAGTAATTAAGTTTTGACAATAAAATGGAACATACGTTTTTCCAAAGGTAGATCATGCTGTACTGATCTGATATCTTTGATGGAAGAAATTATCTAGTTAAGAGAAATGGTGTTGATTTAGTTTGCCTGGGCTTCAGGAGAACCTGGAATGTGGTACCAGTTTGAAAATCTTGCAGTAGAGAGAGCTGCACTTTGGATGGACACAATAAAGGTATACAGGGTCTTCAGAGCCATTGATGTGTGGTATGATCAAAATGTAGGATAGAAAGGAGAGAGTGCATGTGACAGACTTGAATTATTGAGTACAGCAGGGTAAAGCTACATCTCTAAAGGCCTGAGAAGAGGCAGTGCTAATAACTGATGTGTTAAGGGCAACAATCTAGTTATATGTTTTATTTTTTGAGACATAGTAACTGAGGAACTGTGGAGGTTTCTCTGCATATTCTCTTTGCCTTTTTATATTTTTTTTAATGTTTTCTTATGTAATGAATACTGCTTTTTCATGTGTAATAAGTGTATGCTACGTTCCCTCCTTTCCTCTGCCAGGAGGGAAAATATATCTCTTCCATTCGCAGATCAGAGCACCAACAGTTGCAGAACTTGTTTATAAAATACCAAACCCAAATATATTTTGCATTGTTTATTTAAATAATAAACTTTAAATAGCTTTGAATTATGGAAAAGCTGGGTGGCAAATCAACTACCCTGAGATGAACAGAGTTTATGCAGAGAATGCAGCCCAAGCACTAATCCTGTTATCTGCTTCCAGAGGTCTTGCTGGCTTCTTGTTAGGTTGCCCTGTCACTTCGTCTATTTGCCTCAGCACTCAAACATATCAGTAACATATAGAGGTATTACTGTAATCTTATTTTTTACATGGAAAATCTTATCCCCACATCAAGCACTGAAGATCACCCTGTTTGACTGTGACCAAGATTTCTCCCTGCCAAATGTTTGTTTGAGACACACCTGCACTTACAAACGTATCTACAGGTGATTTGAATATATATCATCCATTTTCATTAGTTTACTTGGGGCAAATAATACACTGGTTTTCGTGTAACTGATATTATTATGCTCTGGGCTACCATGAGAGTATAAACGTTAATGGTTATCCACGTATGGAGATAAAGGGTGCCATATGCAGATACTCCTATATATAAATGTATGCAACTTTTTTCTATTGTTAAGAGTTTGTTAATGATAATCTTTCCCAGATTTAGTTGTCCAGATTGAAAATGAGCAGGTTTAATTTTTACTTGTTACTTTTTGCAATTAAAACTAGAATTAATTTGATATTTCCAAAGCAAGATTAGTGTATTATGTTGCAGATCACTGTTTTAGAAGATAGGAGAGTAATAACTAATACCTGCCACAAGCCATCAGATGACAAAAGTGTATGAAGTCAGCCCTTTAGGCTCCTGTTTGTTACATTTTAGGAAAATATGCATTTCAAACATGGACTTAATGAAGCTGAATGTTTTCTCTATGTTACTGAGAGGTGTTCTTTCCTGGCACCAGCTCCAGTACTTCTGTTTGTACTTTACGGATGATTTTAAAGACTAGGGAGGGTCATAAGAATAATCAAAGTACCTGAAACATGTTTATGATGAGTATATTTCCAAGTCACCAGCTGCTTTTCCACCTTGCAGACCAAAGTTTGATTGCAGAAGCCTATTCAGTCTGCCTGGAGAAATGTTTAATGAGATTCTAGTGCTGGTGACCGACTTCAGGCAAATTCAGGCTGGCAAAAAAGGTGAAAAATGTTTATTAGGAAGAATATGAGCAGTGGTGAGTTAAAATAGGTGAACTGAAGATGGACTCCTTATTAAAAACAAGGTATTTTTTTGAAAAACATGTTTTAGTCCAAACCCATGGATTTAGTTTCAGGCAATAACTGCATCATGTATGAACTCTTCAAGGAACTAGGTGAGATAACCGAAGTCTCTTGTCCCATTAGATCAAGTAATCTTTTCCCCATCCTGCAGCTCTTGGTCACTTCACTAGGAAGCTCTCATACATCCATAATGTGAACCAGAAAGTTATCAATGTTATTCCAGGAATGGGAAAAGAACTTTGTGAAAATACACCCATATTTGGATGCTTTATATCTCTCTAAATAAGTCTTTTAAGTCGTAGAATTTTTCAGCTATATTCTTCAAGAACTGTGTGTATGGCAAGCAGGACTTCCCAGCTTTGCAGGAGCTGTGGGATTCTGTAATACAGGGTAGCACAGCTGAAAACATGGGCACTTTTCTCCTTTGCTGTAACTTCTCCTTTTCCCACCACAGGTGGAAGTTAAAGTGAATTTAAAAAAAGCTCTACTAGAGAGAGCAGCAAAGTTACCTAAAAGACTTAAAATATCCTCTTCAGTTTGCACCATGTTATTCTGTATTATCAGCATTTGCTGATCTCTCTCATGTCTGCAAATGTAAGCAAGTTAAAACACTTTTTTGTGATCTGCTGTTCCTTTTCTGTAACATAAATATATATCCCCATGCTTTTGATAAAAACATGAGAGTGAGATAAAGGAAGAAAAAGCCCTCTTATTTCTCTAATACTAGAGACACTTACCGCGATATGTTGGAAGCTTCTGCTTAGGCTCCCTAATATCAAGTGCACTCCATCAGGATCAGTTTGCTTTATTAGTACGCCTTTTAATTTAGGCTTTCTGGGTGTGGATTTGCTTTCTGTTGTACTTGCAGATAAGGACAACGAGCTTTTGATGATTCTCTGGGTATTTCTGTCGTAAAAACATACCTGATGATTGTTACCTGTATGTCATACTTTTGTCACAGTTGGTTTGGTTGATAGTTTAACTTGTGAAGTTTTATAGGTAACGTATAACTGATACACTTGAGGTTTTAGCTGATGAGGTGTTGCTCTGCCAAACAGGATACAGGACAAAGATCATCTGGAGATTATTCAATCTTAAAAGCTTTTTAAATTGTGATTAGCCAAAATAATAAAAAACTGGCCTTCATCCATCAGAGGATAAATAAATCATAGACAACAAAACAAATGTATTGGGGAGCAAACTCCAGTGAACTTCTGTGGCTTTTCTTCCTTTTTTTTTAAATGAACAGTAGTTAACATAGTTCTATTCCTGCTGAAGGTATGAAATCATCAACTTTATCAAGAAAACCACTTAAACATTTTTTAATGGAAACCACTTTTATCTTTACAGGAATTGAACACATCCGGTTTGTACTGTGGACAAGGCTCTTAGGGTGCTGTCCTTCCCTTTGGATAGGTGTGTACCAGTGATACACATCTTTAGGAGGTCAGTGTGATCTAGTGATGAAGTCTGATTTTCGTTTCCCAAACTAAACTGTGTTGCAGACTGCAGAGTCTCAGTTTTGAGGTACTAATTAGAGTGTGGTATGAACTAAAAGACAAGCTTAGGCAGAGATGTTGATGCAAAACTACAGGGAGCTACTGTGTCCCTAATCAGATCTAAAGCTTTTGTGAGCTCAGTTTGCTGTCAGTGTCAACACGTCAGGCTTACAGAGTCTAGTTTAAATCATACTTCTTCCTGCTTATGACAGAGGTGCAGTCACAGTACACAGGGTACTATGTGTAGGATAGCCCCATTTTCTGTTTACATGTTTGTTAGAGTATAATATATAATATAGAGAGTATAATATAAAATATAAAGAATATTTTCCATAATACCATCAGTGATCTGCAAGAGGGTTAAGGACAGACACTGGAGAAAGATTTCCAAATCTTCCTTTTTGAAGTAGAAATAAACAGGTTGCATAGAATGGGGGAAAATATTTTAAACTAAATATTAAAAATTAAGGTAAATGTCACTCAGCCCAAATATTTTCTTCAATTTTTTCTTAGGGTCTAATACAGCTAAGAAAAGAATTCAAACTCTCTTGCTGAAGACAGACCATAATGGGTTGTGCTGCACGTACAGTATTCAGGGATACACCTTCTTTCTATTTGAGCTGAGGCATTAAGTAAACAGAAAGCAAACTGGAGCCAGAGCTCTGCAAAGTGGTATCTGCACAGGAAGCTCCAGAGGCAGAAAATGTTGTAGAGGTACTTTCTCTTCTTTTTTTAATATTTCTCTTAGAACATTAGTATGATATTTTCATTCCTTTGGGATGTTTGCTGGTAAATCAAAGTATTTTTATTCTCTATTTGTGTTTTAAAAGGTACTGTGTTCTGACTTCAAGTTTAGTGATGTCAAAGGCTTTTCAATTGATCTCTACAGACTCATAAATAATTTTGCAGTTGTTAATGCTTTGTTGTGTTTTTGATTTTGTTTTTACATTGCCTTCATTGCAGTGAAAAGAAAATAATAAGCACTCAAAATTTTTGCTAGATATCCAGTAACTAATTCCTAAGAACTGAGTATTGTCTGTAATCAGTATAAAAGACAAGCATAAATAAGATAAAATGCTAACTATTTTGTAGGTAATAGATTTAAAATAGTAGTATAAAGAAGAAATCCTGTTGTAATTTATAGACTATTCTAACCTTCACAGATATTCTACATTTTCTGTATTTCTTTTCTGTCTGCCTTGATCCAAAACCAGGACACAATCTTATTTAGCATCTCCCGTTTCTTCTTTCCTATCTAAAACTTTTAGCTGCAACTCCCTAGAAAGTGCTCTCAAGGCAGAAGAATTTTTGCCCTTCTGACCTTCTGAAATACATTTATCTACCAATGTGATGTCTTAAACCTGTCTTTATGCTTGTGCAAGGACATTTACTCATGAAAACATACAGAGTACAAAAATGCACCCAAGTGTCTTCTTTTACTGCCATTTCATTATTGAGATTATTTCCAAGATACTCTTTCCTTTTGTGTCACAACCTGAAGCTGCTTTGGAAATCTTTTCATAATTAAACTTCTGAGCACTCTTACCTGTAGGATGAGTTCTACTACGCTGTTTCAGAAGTAGTAAGCTGCCTTTGTTTTTCAGCTCTTGCAAGGATTGCCACGGCTTATTGAGAGTACTAATTCACTACTAGTTTCTATTTCACACTCTGCTGCAATCTTTTTTAAATTTTAGACTTTTGAAAGGTGTTAATAGTTCTAAATTTGGAACAAAGAAAATTGAAATGAAAGGTCAACTTGGGTTTTTCTCCTCAGGCTTCACATATTCTAGGAGTGCTTCACTAGTTAGAAACTCTTGTCAACTGTATTAGCAGATTTTCTTGACTAAGCACATCAGTGTAAAACAGTGGTGTGCTTTATACGTTTAGTCATTTCTGTGTTGTGTGGAGGAAGCAAAAGATGCCTCTAAAAGGGCAATTTAATTGTGACTGCACAATGTGATTCTGCTGTCTTCCTCTGTCATTCATATTGACATTCTTCGTTCTGCTATGGTGAGTTAAGCCCTGAGTGAGCCAGGCATATGTATGTTTAGTCACTGTAGTATGGTTATACAACATGGCATCACATCCTGTTTCTTAAATAACTGTATAAAGGGCTATTAAAGCTGTATTTTCTGTATACTGCTGTGTTCAGGCTGAACTAGGATCTGTTAAAAATAATAATCAGTGTAGAGTGACTAATTTAAAAAGTTATGATCTTTTCAGAGGGTATCATTGCAGGCCTTCATGCAGATGTACTCTTCCAAGGCTACATTAGTTATTCTAAATCCAGATTCTGCTATGGCTTCTTTTCTTTTCGGAGGGGTAGAAGCTGTGGGAAAGCTGAGGTTCATTGTAATTGTTGCTCAGTTTTAGATACTGTTCTTATTAATTAGCATAGTTTAGGCTGACATCTCTCATCTTTGCAGCCTTATAAGAATACTGATACTGTGAAACAATTCCACATTGTCACAAAAATCCATCTTACATCTGAAATATCAATGCATCTTTTATCCTCGAAGGACCAGCTATTGCTTTGTGTACTGGGACTTAGAGCATGGAACTTTTAAGTTTATCAAACCTTTTATTGCATCCTCCACTTCACTGGAAGACAGGCTCAGGAGCACAGCTATTGGCATGTTGGGTCTCAGTCACTGATACTGATGTTATGTTATAGTTGAGAGGACTGTGCTCAGGCAGGAGGACAGAGACTGCCTTTATACGTAAGGCTGTTATGGGGTCTCCACACAGCTTCTCTCCTCCAGGCTGAACAGCCCCAGCTTTCACAGCCTGTCTTCATACAGGAGGTGCTCCAGTCCCCTGATCATCCTCGTGGCCTCCTCTGGACTTGTTCCAACAGTTCCATGTCCTTTTTATGTTGAGGACACCAGAACTGCACACAACACTCCAAGTGAGGTCTCACGAGAGCAGAGTAGAGGGGCAGGATCACCTCCTTCGACCTGCTGGTCATGCTCCTTTTGATGCAGCCCAGGATATGGTTGGCTTTCTGGGTTGTGAGCGCACACTGAAGCTGGCTCATGTTAAGTTTCTCATCGACCAACACCCCCAAGTCCTTCTCCGCAGGGCTGCTCTGAATCACTTCTCCACCTAACCTGTAGCTGTGCCTCAACCCAGGTGCAGGACTTCGCACTTCACATTGTTGAACTTCATGAGGTTTGTGTTGGCTTGCATCTAAGACATGTCAGGGTCTCTCTGAATGGCATCCTTTCCCTCCAGTGTATCGACCGCACCCCTCAGAACCTCACACTTGTAAACACATGTAAAACCAAACACATTTTCTCCTACAGGTAATTTCTCTTTTTTGTCAACAGCATTCTGGATTTACTGTGTCCTGCAGTGTGTTACCTGGGCTTATTGTTATCTACAAGGTTGAAGGACGTCTTCTTTATTCAAGTCATCAGTGACTTGGGCCATTACCTGGCCAAGAGCAGATCCAGATGAAATCTCACTGATTATATTTTTGGAGATCAATAGCAAATGATTAAAAACTAATCTTAAAGTTTGTGGTTATTTCCCCCTCCCTCTTCTCTCCTCCCCACCCCTTGTAGTCTGCACTCTCCCTGAAATAGTTTCACTTTCATTTACTTTTGAAAATGTTATGATTTCATGTCAATAACATTCTTAAAATTAAAATATACTACATGACCTTCTGCTTCTCTATGAGACTTGTTGCCCTGTTATAGAAATTAATAGCCAACATGTCAAAAATATAAAACAATATAGGTTTAAAAACTATTTCATGAATAGGTTTTTTTAATTACAGTATTTTTCCCAGAATTTGTCTCTTCCTCATTTTTTGGCTTTTTAAATCTGAGCAATGTGGTCACACATTTCTCGCACAACTTCTGAGATTATGCAGAGGAAGCTAACAGCTCTGAGCTCGCTTCACTCCATTCTCAAGGTATCTTCATATGCACTTCCTCAGGCCCAGCTGTCACTATGGAGATAGGACTAATTTCATCTAAATTTAGCTGCCTATAAAATAGCCATCTATATCTGTGCAGGGGTGTAGGTTCCTATCACAACCAAGGGAGACTTAGTACAGTCAATGACCAGTATAGAGCTCTTCTGGAGACATATTTTGCAGGCATACTTGAGGATGAGGTGAACTGCAGTATTTCCAAATTATTCTCAGACCTTTTCTTTTCCTTTTAGATTAATTCTTTCTTACTGATTTTAGTTATTAGTTGTGTAATTACTGGTCACCCTTTTATGAAGAGCCATGGAAAATGTACTTAGCCTTCTGCAAGTGGGCTATCACAAGGGTTTTCTTTTTGTTACAGAGTTGTTTTCTTGCTATCCCTTATGTCCATTTCTTTGTGCAGTTAAATTTGTGCTTTATCCTCTCTGACTTTGTTTCAGCATCTTGTGCTATTCTTTCTTACTTATTCTTAGGAGTTTGACCTGTTTTTTACTTGCTGTACATTTCTTTCTGGTGTTTCAGGTCATTGAAGACCATATTGCTTAGCCAAGTTGATCTCTGACCATACTTCCTATCCTCCTACTGTGTGGGATTGTTTGTGTTTGTACCCTAAACATCATTCCTTTAAGGAACTGCCAACTCTACTGAATTCCTTCTGCTTTGGCTGTGTTTCCCATGAGAACTTACCTTCCAGTTCCCAGGGCTTATTGGAGTCTTCTTGTATAGAGTCCCTTGGGTTTGAATTGATCTTTTCTTTTGTCCCTCATCTAAAAATAATATACATTATCACATCACAGTTGCTCTCAACCAAATTACCTTTACCCTCATGTTCCCAACCTTCCTCCTTCTTGGTTGCTTAGCAGACAGCCTCTTGGCAGGCTGCTGTTGAAGGGTTTGGCAGGCTCTGACAGCTGCTGTAGACCATACACAGGGAGTGGTTAAACACTGCTCATTATACCCAGAGACAGACACATCACACTGCTTTGTAATATGCAACTGGAGATGCCTACCTAAACATTCACAGCGAAAAACTTGCATCTTTTAGGTGGACGTTTAATCAAAACATAGACAAATACTACGTTTACAGTGTTTCAGATGCTTTTCTGGGAAAACATCTATGTGGCAGCAAAAACGCTTTGCCCAGCCTTGAAGTCCTGGTAAGGAGAAGACAAAAGCCTCTTCCCTATTTCCTTTGCAGACCTAGGCATAAAATTAAAGTACTGGGTCCCTTTGTATTGATCTTTCTTTGTCTAATCTTTATTTTCTATTTAACATCACTCAGAGGAATGGGAAATCTCCACTGAGGTTCTCTGATAGGGTGAGTAAAAATTGCATTGTCGATAACTTTTTATGTTACTGTGATTTTCATAGTATAGTCAAATCTTCACAGAGAAAGATTTCTTTGTCATAGAGATTTTTTTTGGGGTTTGCTTTAGTTTTTTCATTTATATATTTAGAAATTGCCATTGAATCTCTCAAGAAATAAACTGAGACATTACTTAGCATTTGAAATCACACCATGACGAAGTGAATGTACAGAGGATTTTTTTTTGGCTGTCTATTTCTCATTGCTGTAGGTCTCCTCAGTTAAGAACAGGGGAGTTAAACATACAGCTAAAAGTTGGTGCTGCAAGGATTCTGGTGCCTGAATGAAGAGACAGAGGCTCCCATTAACTTTCTGTCTTTGCTAATGGTAATATGCACCTTAACTCTTCTTGTTTCAATACAGTTTGCAGCTGCATAGGATTTTGTCAAATTTAGCAGAAATTTTCCATGCTAGGTATCTGCCTCAGATAACTTTTAAAAGCCTTTGAACAAAGAGAATTTACGTATTTTTATACAGAGCATTTGGAAACTATACTCTTTTTTCTCATCCTAAATGGTTCCAGTGACCTCTCCTCTAAGATTGCAGGCTTTGGAAAAAGCATTTGAAAACTGAGGTTAAGGGGACATTCATCTTGTATATTCTCAGTGAAACCTTTGCTGGACTGAGGTGGCACAGAGGAGTAAACCACCCATTTTGAATAACAGGGCAAGCACGAGCAAGATTTTATGGGGGAAAGTTGGGGATCAGTGGTGAAATAGATTCGAAGAACGAAGTCAGCAGGAAGAAGCTGTGCCTTGATCAGTAGTGTGAAAATGGATGTGGGAGGGAAGAGAAAGGAAAATGTGTCAGTACAGTTTGGGAGATACTAAAATAGCTAAAGGAGCTGAAGTGCAGAGCCTGGGACTAGCTGAGTACAGGGCTGAGAGCGAGAAGCAGTGTGGCTGTGTGGGAGGCTTGGAAGAAGGAAAGACAGATCTGATGAGCTGGGTTCGGAAGTGTGGGGGGCTGTGAGGCTGACTGAGGAGACTAAGGGAGGAGTCTGGCAGTGGGAGCCAGCAAAGAGCTGGCTTGTGCATGGGGAAGACTGAACAGCAGAATCCGCATGAGCTTGGATGGGCATTTGGGAAGGTGGAAAACAGGATTTGCTGGGCAAGCTGCCTGGAAATAATACAAGGATGGCTTTTGGAGGTAAGGATTTGCTTGAGACCGGGTTAAAATTTAGCCTGAGGAGTGGAAGCAGAGACTGGGGAAGGAGTCACACCTGTGATGGGATGGGGGATGAGGGAAAAGCATTGGTGTCCATGCAAATTATGTCCAACAGGAGGGGAACTCAGTGTTGGAGAGCTGCTAGGGAGTGGGGTGCGAGGAGGTGGAATTGGAGGTATCAGGAATGGAAGAGTGGTCAGGCTGTGCTGATGGTGGGAGCAGGGGAAGCAGGGGCAAACTCTTCCAGTGTCAGGGATGGCATCCTGCATGCCTCAGTCTTGCCATTTTGTGGCTATCGGCAGGTAAGTCTGACAAGCTTGGGTCTCATCATTACTGATGCTGGGTTTGTTCAGAAGATAGCAATCTGCTGCCTCTGTCAGTTATTCCATTAGAGTATCATAAAGTCAGTCAAGAGAGCTAAATGATTTACCACCGACAGTGATTGTTGTGCATGTTGTTATGATGCCACATGAATACATTTTTTTTTAGTTTTTTAACACTTGTGTTTAAGAAACAAAATATTCCACACAACTTGACACATTCCATTCACAGGATGGACGTGCTCTTGAGATGCTCTAGAGCTGTGTATTAGGATCCCCACTACCTACAGCAGATGAGGGAAGGTGTGCATGAATCATGCAAAAGGTTTTAGGGTGAGAGTTTGAGCTCTTTGTCTGCCACAATGATTCCAAATGGTGTGGAGCCCCCACCTTTTCACTCATTGACTGTCCATTCTTCATTTTCTGAGTGCTTGAGCAGGCTCTGGAAACCAGATTTGCAGATTATTTGAGCATTCATATCTGTAACTGAATCGGCAAGACTATTTTGAACTTAGAGTGTACTGTAATGCTAAATACTCTGAGGTGTCATCTCTTTAGTTGCAAGACTGTGCTGCCAAAAGCCAGCTGATACTTCACTCTATGCTCTCTGATTTACCTCATGCACCACTTTAATCCTACTCTTTCCTAATTTCTTCATATTTGCTACTGCATGTGCCAGAGTATGATGTAAAAGTATGTTTCATATAAGCAGATTTTAAACATAACATTTCTCCTGAACAGCTTGTCCCACAATACAGAGGAGACCAGAAAAGAAAGGAAAAATAGGCCTAGATTCATGTAGGAGGGGAGAAGAATGCATGTACACAGTTTGTCAGGAAGAATGTTTCAGGTGAAGAGGCTATTTCTGTAAAGGAGCAGGCACCAAAACACTGGTGTAAGTACTTGTACATAAGCACGGGAGCTTTTGGAGGGGTTTAACAAAGGAAGAGTTGCGGGGAGAGTACAGATATGGCTTTGAAAAAAACAGTGTTGGATCCTGAAAATGAGGGTCAAAAGCTGGGATAGAACGATGGAAGAAGCTGATGAGATGGGTGCAAAAAGGAAAATAATTCCAGGAGAGATATTTTTTATTCACTGGAGTATAAAAAGAGAAAGTGAGATAATGGCTGCCATCAGTTACGGTAGAGGGGTACTAGAGGAGGGAATACAAGAAGGCTATAAATGAGGTGAACAGCAGCCAGGAGGTTGCCTGGGGGTTGTGTGCTAAGAGGCTGGGCTATTACAAACAGTCTGGCAATTGGTGTGTAATGGCAGGAATGAATGAATCAAGTTTACACAGGGAGGTGAAGAGAGGAAAGGGACAGAGAGGATCTAGGGTTGAGACAAGGTACATAAACTTCAATGGCAAGGATAACATTGCTATTACTGACAGTGACTGAGAAATATGGGAGGGAACTGTAAGACACACAAAAAGCCAGAGACCTAGTTATCAACATAGTGAGAATAGCAGAGGGATTTTGTGAGGCCCCATATCCCAAAACCAAGCCTGATAAGAGGGTATTCATTGCCACCGTAGTAGGAGTACATCATGTTCTAAGCTTTTCTTCCATGCTCTCTTTTCTCCCTTTCTTCCTACTTTCCAGGTTTCTTAGGCTCATCTAGATTCCCTCGAAGAAAATTGTAAAGGTTGCTAGAAGAAAACTGTAAAAGTTGCTGTCCTATGGTTAGTTTTATAGTGGATTAAATGGCAGTTGATATGTGCATGGGACCTTGAATTATGCATTTAGATAAGTCCACACAGTCCATTATCAGGTAACCAAGTAGAGAGGATGGACTTTGTTCTCATATTATCTGCCAGGCCCCCAAAGCACGAACAGGGCACCAACTATCCCTGCTCAGCCCCCTTTGGGGCTTTTTGCTGTTGTGGATTTCCCCTACCCTGTCTACAGCCCAGGACCCCATGTCAGCCCCTCAGGTCATTGGTCCTTGCCCCAGCAATGCTGCTGCAGGTCCGGTCCCCAGTTCCCCAAGGCCCAGCCAAGCTGGGCCCACTTATGAGCTGATGTTACTGTGGTGATGGTCTGGTTTCTTGGCTGAATCTGGCCACCATCTCCAGGTATCACCCTCCACAGGTGGTGCTGGATCCAGGCTGGTCAGGCCTCTGCCAGGCTGGCCATGTGGTTATTGCACTTGTCTCCCAGCTGCCATCTGAAGGGAAGAGCTGTCCCTCACTGCTTCCTGGCAATATCAATAGGAAGTGGCCATACTTACAGAATCAAAAGCCTGTGGCCTTTCTGGCTACAACTACAGGAAGAAAAAACATAGACAAGTTTGATCACACAAGGGTTGGGTTCCAGTGCATGAGTGACTGCAGTGCATTTAATCTGTTTGTTGATTAGTTTTGCATAATCCTTTCTGTTCTCATTTCCTTGAACTCATTCTTCTCCATCCTCACTGAATTATATTTCACATCTTTTCCACTCCCATTCTCCGCCTCCCCATTCTCCACCTCCCTTTCCCACAACATCATTTGAGCAGGCTACACAGCCTTTCTATTTCACGTGGCCTGGGGTCTGCCACTAAGGTTGCTGCTCCCTGCCTCTTTGGGACATTTTTTCTGTCAGACTCTGTGCTGCCTTTACCCATGTACTCTTTTTTTTCTCCTTATTTTGGTTCTTTTCATCCCCAGATTGGCTTTTCTTTTAGCTTGCTCTTTTGTGGGCTGTTTGGTAACAGTTCTAGCACACTGGCAGCCTAACTGGTGTTGGCATCCCTGAAAAGAAGGACTTCAAGGAGTGATTTTAGGTGAAAAATGTAATAGTTCTGTAGGTGCTTCAGAAAAAAACTTCTTCCAAAAAGGGGGAGAGCAGAGGAGAAAGCAGAAGCTATTTGTTATTGAGGGCTAATGGTTGCAGGGGCTAGCAATATGACCGATCAGGAGATAAAGGTGAGCTTTTAATACTGCATGGGAAATGACAGGTAAAGAAAAACCTTGGAAGACAAGACAAGGATGCCACGGGATGAAATAGAGAAGGAGAAGCTAAAAGGCAGACACGAGAAGGTGATGTAATGAGAATAATAAGCAGTTCAGTAGTGAAATGAGGAAGGTAGCACTGCAGTTGCTGAAACCAGAGAAGAAATCTAATGCAGTACTGGAGAGCTGAGATGACCACTGCAGGGAACAAGAGTTTTAGCTTGTGCCTGTGTTGGAAATTGTGACTTTGTACCCACCCAACTGCTGTGAAGTGTGCTACTCTGAGACACCCTCAGGCTCTTCCTCAGTAGCTCCCAGTCTAGCTCATATGTTGTCTCCCTACTGAGATTGTACCTGAGCTTCCAAGTACTGAGCACAACTCCTTTCAGCCCTTGCTGCTGCAAGTGAGATGATGTCACACCTTGGCTCTTGTTGGCAACATGAACTATATCAGAAGGTTCTCCTAGCCCTTGACTGACTGTGGCCTATTGAAGGTCCCTAATCCACTAATAATTTCCCAATAAGTGGAGCAGACCAGCCTGCCTGCTGAGACTCCATTTTCTGGGGTCTCTCTCCCTTCCTCCTGTCCATCCACAGCAAACAGAGGAACAAGGTGGGTACAGATTCAGGTGAGCAAGGCTCTTGCTTCTAAAGGCACAGTCCACCCTGTTATAACAGCACAATCAGAAGTTCATCCAGCAAAGCCTGTTTTTCCTGGTTGTTTTTTTTTTATTCCGGCTGTCCCTGGGGGGGTTTCTACACGTCATCCCCTCCTTACCTTCTGTGTACCCAGGTACATATCAGTATGTATGTATTTGCAGTTGTCTTTTTGAAGGGATTAACAGGGTTTAAGTACAGAATGGGACTCAGTGACTGAGAATGTTACCTGTTTCCAGAGATTTTCCCTGCCTTCCACTGAGCTGTGTTACTGGTAGCTTTTCTAACTTCTGGCTTCAAATGTATCAGGATCACAAAAAAGCGTTGTTGTAAGTTCACTCTTTTAATCTGGCACGTCCCGCTTATCATCAAGTGGGGTACAGAGGATCACTCCATAGGCTCAGCTGTGACCAAGGCCTGTCTGCAAAAAATCAGCTTGAGACACACCTTTGTAAGTTTATCAGCAGGAGACTTTAAATCCTTATCAAACTAATTAGTTAGTTTACTTGGAGCAAACAATACACCAGTATAACTGATATTAATGTGTTTCTGAACTACACTTGTGTGTGTATTTATATACGCATCCATATAGTTCAGAAACATACACACACATGAGTATGTGTACATGAATTTCTGTACTTGGGTAATAGGTACCATACATAAAGACTTAACATTATTCAACATTTCCAGTTATAGGGCTTCTAATTTTTTTAAAGGATTGTTTTTTTCAGACTGATTTTTTTAATACTTCTTTACAAACTGCAGATTTTTCAATTGGTTCAGGAGAATGGATTAAGGAGTGATTAAGGAATGCTATATTATGAATCATTGTTTTAGTAGTGCAAGGACAGAATGATGTGCCAGTGACACCTGTTCAAGGCAATGCAATGTACTCCTTGGGTGCTTGTACTAGGAATAAACCTGCATGGCAGGAAGGAGAACTTCAATCTGCATGTGATCTGCAAGTAATTTACTTATATGACTTTCTCATTAAAATATCTTTGGACTCTCTATTTCCTAATTGAAAGAGTACTAGAGATTCTATATACGACCTTGTTTTGGTGAGGGGAAAACAAACTCAGTACAAAGCCAGGGTTGGTGGTTGAGCGTGAGTGGTTGTGGTGTGGCTACACATGGTATGAATAGCTAAAATCCAGACCACGAACAGACGTACAGGACGGTTGCAGAAGATCTAGTATCACAAAATGGAAAGCAAGTATGATGTGAAAGAACCAAGGGAAAGAAATTTAACAGAAAAAGTTATCTGATAACTCAGGCATATGACAATTCTGTGTCTGCCCTGGAAAAGCACAACCTTATCGAGACAGAGAGCTCTTCTGGGTCAGATGATCTAGCTTGACATACAGGAATGTGCAAGTAGGTTTCCAGCCACCCCTCCTTATCCAGTGTAGCACACAGAAAAAGGGGATGTTGAAAATAATTAAAAGCAGAAAATTGTCATAAATTTCTTGAAGGGAACAGAAGAATGGAAAGAACATTTTATGATCAGCAAACTTAAGAACAAAGACACAAACAATATGATGTAACTTAGTTTGGTTTCGTTGTGAAGAGCGTGTACATCAGGAAGGAAAGAATCTTGACAATGGATTAGCAGAGGGAGATGGTAGAATTATCAGCAGTGCAAAGAAGGCTGGAATTCAATAAAAATCTGTCATTTTAGAAAGGCTGCAAGACTTTTTTCCCCATCTTGCATGAACATAAGATGATTAGCATTGCTTTCTCCAATAATCTGTTCCCCTTTTGATACCATTCTTGGCTTGAGCAATTACGGATTATGTTATAGGAAATGGATCTCACCAAACTGACATACTATTTTTGTTTGGATTTGGTTGATTAAGGCAATAATATTGATATAGTGGATTTAGAATTGTATAAAGCATTTAACTTGATACTGCAGCATATTTTGGCTAAGAAACTAGAAAGCCATCAGATCAGCTGGACACACATTGAAGGAATTCAGCACTACTTAACTGATAGGCCTCAAAAAATCTCATCAGCTGATAGAAATCCTTCTGAAAGGTTTCTGCAAGAGCTCTATGAGGATCATTCCTCTTATTGCCAGGTGGTAATGTCCAAGAAACTCATAAAAGGATTTCTGATGAAATCTGCAGAATCCGGTAAGACAGTGCAAGGTGTCCCTCCCCATGGCAGGGGGGTGGCAACTGAATGATCTTAAGGTCCTTTCCAACCCTAACTATTCTATGATTCTATAATTCTACATGCAGAGGTGGAAACATTAAACCACAGTGATGAATGGTTGATTTATAATGATGTGACCTGAAGAACAAGCAAAACCCAAAAGCTCAGTGTACAGCAGTTATCCAGAAGATCTTGCGCTTCATTAAAAATGACAAACAAATCCACAACCCCCCAACTATGTGTAGTAATGACAAGGCAGATTAATGCCCTATAATGAGTTTTCAGTATTTTCTCCTCCCTCTGGGTATATATTAGTTTCAGAGAGACATTTAGATCTCTATTTGCTGTGCTACTTTTCACTGTATTTCTGGGGTTTTTTTTGAGTTCTATGGTACTGTTGTTCTGCTTTGCCTGTGGAAGTCTGTTCTGCTGCCCTCTGGTTACAGCAGAACTAGACTATTATGGAGTTGTTGTGTTAATAGATTCACCACACCTTGACTGAGGAATGCCTTGTAGTTACCCAGTTACCTTAAATCACACTTAATTCAAGGTAGGATGAGGTAAAATGCAAATAGAAGGATTAAATCCTTGCATCTAAACCAGGCAACACAATTACAAATATCTGGAAAACACAAGTGAAAAAATAGAAGAAAAAGTTCATCTGATCTACTGACACTGAATGTATCACAAAGGTGGGTTTTAGTTTGGATTTCCCTCCCCTCTTTTTTTTTATTTCCAGGTGACTTGTCCTTATTCTGACAAAACAGCTCTCAGAGTTTTCTTTCCTCCTGTTCCTCAGGTTGCTTTTAGGTGATTTTCATCACTGAAGACCTTGCATTACACAGAACTCCGTACTGGGGTGCCCCATCAGGAAACATCTTCAGAAGAAGCCTTTGGACTTCACCTTCAGGTAGCTTCTTTTAATTATCATTTTGACCTCACTTGATACTGGATGGCTTTAGCTCTTAGAGCCAGTCTGCACTTTGAAGTTTTCTAAGGGGTCCAGAAAGATTTTACCTGTCACTTTTCAGCTTGCTTGTTCTGTCCCTCTTTATGGTCTGATCATTCTCCTGAATTAAAATAAGGATCCTTTTGCTTCCACAAATGTTTTAGTAGAGGAGTTGTCTCCTGCGTTTGGCTAGCTCATAAACAGCTTCTTTCCCTCAAGGAGGCAAGTCTCCTCTGGTGACTCATTGACACGTTTCAACATGAAATGTGTCTTAGGGCAGACCTTATATTCTGTACCAGTAATTTAATTAACAAATATATACGATAGAAGTATCTAAATAGGGTAAATTAATCTAGTTAATTTTCTGATTCCTGAGACAGGTATGATAACAATAACTACCCTTATACTCTGAGGTGACAGCATTTAAGGTAAACAAGGCCCAATTTCTTTCTCCTAACCATACTCTAACAAGGAGTCCCTTTACAGAATTGTTTAGTGTCATATTTATTTTAATTGCTGCACAGCATGAAACAGTCTTCAAACCACTTGTGAAGAAGAATACAAAGGGATCACTCAGTCTTGGACCTCATGAGTTCAGTGAACAACCTGTCTGACTTTAGCTGGCCTTGAAAGTATCCTTTGATGCGTTAGAAATCAATAGATAACATGGTGAAGGGAGAATTGATGTGCAGCGAAGCAAAGGTTTAAGGCTGAAGATCAACCTATGTTTTTTCTTGTAGCCTTTATAACAATCCTATTCAGCCAAGAAAATACAAAAATATTGACTAAATACCACAATATGTAAAAATGTTGCATTGATTTGAATGAATATTTTAACAATTGAATGCAACACAAGTATATTATTAATAAATGTGACTGCAGATTTGTTCATAATGATATTTACAGGTCAGAGAGAGTGAACAGTCATCCCCCTCCATTACATAGGTCATGTCTAAACTAAGATTTAATCATGAGTGATGTTGTTAACTGTGTGATTTTGAAGATATTTGGGTAAAGATGTGTGATACAACAATCAGCCATCAGCCCTGAAAGGAAGAAGCCTTGTGTGCAAGTACGTTGTCAGCAATTTAACTAGTGCTGCCTCTAGTGCTGCCTCAGAACACGCAGGAAAAGTTTCCATTCTGGCAGATGGAGTTCATGTACATCCACACTTGAGGGGGTGAGGGCATCATAAATAACTTGCAGAGTGGTCCTGTTGTATCTCTGTAAAAACAAAACAGAAAGAAGTTACGTTGCTAAGAAATCCAGGCAAAGATGATTTTATTGCCATCAGGTTCTGGGTGAAAAACTCAGAAGTGGAAAAGGAAGATGGTGTTGCTTGACTTTTTTGATGGTGCAGACTTTATGGGAAAGAAATAGAATGTCACATTTGCCAGTAGTTACCGTTTTGCACTTAACTTTGCTATTTCAAACAAAAAAATGATGAATAGCACGCTGCTGAAGAGCTTTCTAATGGGGGCAACACAGGAAGGTTGCACAGAGGGCTTAGAGAGCTCTCTCTCCAGGAAGTGCAAAGGGACAAAATGAGTGAGCACAGAAGAGGGAATATGTTGAATGTTGGACTGCATTGGTCTTCTCTCCTTTTATCTATGAACATGGGACATCTTCTTGCCTGTTGTTTCTTTTGCTGCTTCTTTATGCTTCCTGCCAGAGTGAAACACTTGGGAGCTCTTACGGCAGCAAACATAAACAATGTCTTTGGGAGAGAGAAAATGTGAGAATTCATCTATTACTAGCAGTTAGGGTTCTCTGGACTGTGGATTCTCCTGCAGTGAATATTATTTGTACAAAGTGGAAAGCTTCAGGGCAAGAGATGGGAAGAATCTCATCCTGAATGTATCATAGGCTTGCAGATAAGCCTGTTGCAGGTTACAGCAAACTTTGTACTTCCAGATTCTAACATGTAATGTTATTTTTTAAAAGAACACAACTCTGTAATCACAAATGAAGTTACTGTTACACAATATTAAGGGACATAGAATTTGCTTGGCAGAAACACCATATTTACATGCGGAGAAGGGGGAAGCATTTGCTCATACATAGTCCATTGTTCTAAGAATGTATGTTTTAAGTTTTCTAATACTTTGAAATGGTCATAGTATTTGTTCAATTTAACAGTATAATTATGGTGAGCCTTTTTCATAGTAGAATTTTTACTTATTAGCAAAGCCTGCTTTTATAGGCTTAAAAGGTCTTTCTGCTATTATAAAGTCTGTAAGGGAATACCCTGTTATCTTTCTTATATCAGTCATACAAAATCTAACTTGTATTGTTTTTCCTTGTTGACAGAAAGGCAGATTTCCACTTTAGAGTTCATGTCATCCTCCTTCCTGTGAAAATAATATGAACCAGAAGGTGTTAATTTTCCTTCTCCCAAATTTTATTTTTGGGATATTTCTTTTTGGCTTTTTTTGTAAGAGACAAAAACCCCTAACAGGTGAGTAAAGAATTTACCAACAAAAAGACTGAATATATTCTAGAACCAGGGACACTTTTCTCAAATGTTTTAGAAAGTAACTACAGAGCCTTAGTGGTAAACAATGTTGTGAAAACATTCAAGGCCATGCTGCCACTATTGCTAGCTTAGCAATATATGAAAGAGAGAGCACTACAAAGAATCAGTTGACATTAGAAGTATTAGAGCATCAATCTTGACTAAAGTAATACTGCTAACATGTTGAAAGTTTTCATTTTATCAGACTTTTCACTAAGCAGAACAGTTTATTGTGGGTTTGCCATAGTGGAATCTGGTGACAGAAAACAAAATACTGATTTTAGCATCTTCATTAGTTTTTATATGCAGGACAACAGATTGAGTGATGTGAGTGTCACAAAGAAAGAGACTTAGTAAGTCTATTTCACACTAATGGTTTACAGTTCTTTCTTGGTTGCAGGTGTTTTTCCTGATCCCACTGAAGACTGGCTGGCAATTCAGAATGATCGCAAAAGCACACTGGCTTCTCTCTGCCTAAAGAACGGTCTTCTCAAATTAAGAAGTAAATTGGATTCTCATGTCGCAAGCCAGCTCTTTGTGGAGCACAAACATAAATTTATCTACTGTGAGGTGCCCAAGGTAGGCTGCTCCAACTGGAAGAGAACTATTTTTCTTCTCCAAGCAAACTTAAATGCCGAAGCTTCTGAAATTGAGCATGACCACATCCACCAAACCTCGCTGATCAAGAAGCTGGTGGCGTACCCTCCTGTCATACAAAAAGAATTTTTGGGCAACTACACAAAAGTGATGTTCACCAGACATCCCTTGGAACGCCTGGTTTCAGCTTACAGAGACAAACTTCTGCACTCTGAGCCATTCTACAGTGTCACTGTGGCTAACGAGATTAGGGCAATGTTCAGGAAAGACAAAAATTCATCTGAAAAAGTGAGTTTTCAGGAGTTTGTCAATTTCATTGTAGCAAAACCACCAAATAGTCTTGACATACACTGGAAACCGATGTTTCTCCTCTGTGATCCTTGCAACATTCACTATGATATTCTGGGTAAGTATGAAACTCTTAGGTTAGATTCTGAGCATGTTCTGAAGGTCATTGGAGCACCAAAGAGCCTGCACTTCCCCAACTTGAAGAGGTATGGCTCAGAGAAACGAACTAATGGTGATATCACCTTGGAGTACCTCAGACAGTTGAACTCAGAACAAATTGAGAAGATCAAAAAATTGTATCAAATGGATTTTTTCTTGTTCAACTATACTATGGACTATGAGGATTATTTTTCCCTGAATGACTAATGTAGGTTAAACAAAGAACAGTTTCCTCTGTACAAAATGGGCTGAACCTGTCCTCACAGGTGCTTGATACGTGGATTGTCGACTGACTGCTGCTGAGATTCTACTGGTGTTTGGGGATGTGGTTAATCATCCTAAGCACTCTTATAACAAATCCCTGACATGATCTGTTGTACTGTACAGTACTTTACCTATATGAAATGATTGTCTTCCTGTTGATCATTAATGGCATATGTTTGTTTCATGAAGACTGTTTATAAATAATAGATTTTTGCCTGTTGGCAAGAGGGGAAGGATGGAGAGTGTTGTTTTCCACAGCAAATATTTTTAGGACATATTTTTTTTTACATTAAGGACTTCAATTTTTTATTAGAAAAAGACATAAGAAGCAATAAATTATCTTCTTTAGAGTCAAACCACTCGTTGTCTGCTAGAGCCTCAATCATGAATCCTGTAGAAAAGAAGCAAATAACTTCAGATGCTTGAAGCTGCATTGCATGGAATTTAATGTCTGATTATATTCCCTCTTAGCAGTGCTGTCACCACAGCCCACCAGCCTCATCTCTCAAGCAGCTTGGTTGGCAAAAATCCAGCCAGGGTTTCCCTTTTATATCTTCAAAATCTTCTGATGAGCAGCAGGTCTGGTGTTCCTGGTGATTTGCACTCTTTTCACCATCTTTGTGAGCATTATGGTCTGATTTAAGAGGGAAAGCCTGAAAAATTTATCTTTTCTTTTGAGAAGTAGGTAGATGTACCCCTAAACTGTACCACTGAGGTGGTGCAGGATTTAAACCCTCAGTGGAAAGGTGACTCTTACCTATTCTCCAAAAGCACTTACCACCCAGTCAACTGGCTGGGCAGTCAGCACAGGCGGGACAATGTTTGGGCTTTCCCCATTTGTGCCTGCTGGAGCCCATGAGCCCTTGGGACTGGTCTGAGCATGGCAGTTAGGTGGAGCTTGGTAACTTCAGGTAATACATTTGTTCTGCCTGCTGCTTTCTCACCTCACAGGAGATCGAGTGCAAAGAAATTGATTGTAGTATTATGGTGAGGGGAGCAATGAAACGTTGAGAAGCAACTCAAGCCATTATCCACTTCTTATGTTCCTACGTGGCTTTAATTTTGGATCTGTAAGTGCTATTAAGTACAAGGCTTACTCCATTTTTTGAAAATCTACTGCCTAGTCACATTGGAAATTAATTTGTGACCATATTAATTAGTTTTAGAAACCAATAATGAGTATTAGCATCAACTTTAGGGGATATCAGTCTCTCAGGAGCCATCTTGAAAATCTCTCAAATGCACTTAGTTCCTATCAGCTCTATCTGCACATGTACAAAGGCTGGCAGACAAGTCTTGGATCCAGAGTTGGCTCACAGCTTCTCAATACATAGAAAATGACAGGGACAAAACAGCTTAATGACACTGCAGCCACCAATCTGTACAGCCTTTGCTGCCAGCAGCATGGCCAAGGGAGAGGGAAAAGGAGGCTGATAAAAATGGATGCAAAGAGACTTGAGTCATGAGGGCTGTGAAGACAGCGTCCGGCGCAGGGTGGTCTATCTCAGAGGGAAGATGCAGTGATATATTGAACATCAGCTGGAGACACGTATGGGACCATAGTGTCAGGAAGAAGCATAGGAAGAAGCTTGCTACATCCCTTCTTGATGGCAGATGGCACACAAAGCCAGGACTACTGTTTGGTACCTCTGGTAGCTCTTGCATGGCTGACTATTCCACAAATGCGGCAGCTTTGGCACAGGGAGAGATCCAAAGTGAAAAGGCCAAGCAAGAACAGCAAGAAAATAAAAGCTTGTCATTTCATGTAACGTGTGATTTGCATTCATGGTTCTGGATCTTACCCTCCCCACCACCATATTTGGTGTCCCCACAGTCCTGTTACCCCCCAGTACTGGACTGCTCGTGCTGCCCTGGCAATGCTGTAGTTCATGTGAATTTCTTTTACTTTTAAATTATGCTGAGACAGAGGAAGCCGGAGATGATTCCCATCAGAGCTAAGGCTATGCAGAGGGATGCAGTCTCTCTCCCCCCTTCTCCCCCGAATCAGAGTCATCTCCAGCTACCTGCTTCTCCTGCTTTCTTTGTCAGATCATGCAGAGGAAGAGAGGAATAAGATTTGCTTCATAACTTGCTTCTACATGACACATCCCTCCAGAACTATATCTAAAGCTGTAAATATATCTAAAGCTACTTTAATTTTCTGGCAGCAGCAGACAGCCTAGAAAAACTGAAGAAATGATACTGACAGTTTGATAAGTGTCTTTGTTATCAGCACTTGAGTAGTTAACACTCCCCTCTAGTTTCTTGCTGTTAGATGGAAGCTGCTTTCTATTCTTAATTCCTCTTTCACACAGGATCTCAGGCTCTTCCTGCAGTGCTGACAGAAAACGGATGGCTAATTCAGTCATCACAAGCACTAGTCAGTAACAGAGGCTATTGGTGCAGAAAAATCTCTGTAACTATTCACAACGGACTTTCAGATTTGACATTTGCCTACAGGAAACTGTAAGTAGCACATTGCCTGGAACCACTGGCTGTTGTAATGCTGTTAACTAGTTTGGATCTCAACAAAAGAAACCTGCAGAAGATGTGTGTGCATGTGTGCACATATAACAACAGTTTTAGGAAGCAAACTGATAGAAGTTGTACATTACCAATGCTAACAAAGTGAGAATAACAGGTTGATATCTGTTGGAAAACAGAAAAAAATGGACATTACCTCATAAAGGATATGTAACATTCCCATGTAGGCATCTTTTAATTCTCAAGCCATCTACCACATATCCATTTCTGAGCTAGACAATACTTCCTAGGACACTCCCCCGCCAAGAGCTGCTGTGCTATGGTACAGGAGTATGTAAGAGCTCTGCAATATGCCTCAGAGTTAATGAAAACAATGGCCACTCGCTATATGTTGTAGAAAGCCTTCACAGCTTGTGAAGATGGGCATGGAAGTTCAGGCTGAGCTCAAAACATGAATCTGCAGGAGAAAATTGCTAGGTCTTTAGTAATTGCATTGAGTTGGCTGTATTTTTTAGTGATAGCTGTCAAGTGCTTGTGGAAAACTGTGGTTTATACTATTTCCTAATGTGTGAGCAATAGAGCAGAGGGGGGACTGTTGCACCGTAGTTATTTCCCAGGTGAATCCCAAGACTCATTCCACTGGACAGCATAGTAAGTTTGCTGATAAAAGGGCTTATTGTTACTTCATTATTGATATTGTAATGTAATAAAAGCTGATGAAGACTCTGGAGCTTGTCCTACAAGAGCTGCAAGACACCTGTACACTTACTCTCTCTTCATGTCTCTTCATGGCCTGGGAGAGAGCTCTCCTGTACAGTCTTTCCTACAAGAGTACTGTGCAAAACAAAGGCTCTGAGCTGAGCCGGCCTCTCTCCTGCCTTTGCTTAGAGAACACTCAGTGGAGCTTCCTTCCTTCAGATGCTGACTCTGGATGATGTTTTCCTGGGAGAGTGGGTGCTTGCAGTTGGGAGCAGGGATGGAGGGCTGTGGTGGGGCTTGGAGCCGAGGTTCTGTGGTGTATTCAAAGGGGTAGGAGGTGCTATAATTACTGTTCTGGTTTAATGTTATATGCCTGTGATATAGCCATTGCTATGTTTTGTTTCTAATTACCTTAATAAACCATAGTGATTGATGAAACATTAATCTGTTTGTTCATCCTTCTCAGTAATGTCTGTTTAAAACAATAGAAAGGACGTGGAGATGTTCCATCAAATCATAACATAGGGCACACCCTGTAAGACAACAGCAAACACAAAGGCTCTGCTTTGGTACATTAATATAAAGCTGTCTCACAGGACTCTTAAAGAATTAGCAAATACTAATGAGTATTCCCATCTGGAGAAAAAATGGATCAAAGCAGGAAAAAGAAGGCAAACAGAAAATCTCATGAAGTCAAGCTTGCAGCTTTCCCACAAATCCATCTATCAGCAGGGAGAAAATAAGTGAGATCTTGCCATTCTCATGGATATCCACACAGACATCCTTTCAGGATAGGTATCCACGAACCTGACACCATTCTTGCTTTGTGAAAGTGTAACATAGAGACCTGATAGCTGGCCAGTGCATGTCATCAATGGAGACCACGTCACCAGTTGCTCTTGAAGAAGGCATTTCCTCCATTTAAAAGTGATGATTCTGCCCGTAGACAACCCTAATTTTTCACAGCGTGAGTCTTAACATGTTGATTGTGATGAGTGGTTTCTTATTCAGAGAACTTCCCATAGCAGGAGAGCTGTGAATAGAAGAAAAGGCATGAGCAAGAAACACCTGAGTGTTTGCTGCTCACAGAAGTGTCCTCTGACCAAGGAAAAGAAGAGGAAACCCCACATGGAACAAACTGCAGCTGTCATGGCTCACAGCTAGAAGGATATTCTATTTCTGCATTCAGACTGTCAGTCAAAACCTTCAAGCTCTGTCAGAGAGGTAGAACAGGAAAAGGAATAAGGAAACAAGAAACGAAAGCTACACTAATGCTCTGTGGTTGTGGTGTAGGCCTGGCATGACGTCTTCCTGTCACAGTACTTACCATCCTTCCTTCCTTCCAGAATTAGATACCAAGTCATGCTTTAGTATAAAACAAAAAGTTATTAGACAATATAACTTGCATAAATTAATGTAAATAAATCACATCAAACAGGGGGAGAATTTACCTGATAAAAATGTCTGGAATTTCAGGAAGTCCTCTTGGAAGTTTTGACTGAGTATCACATGTACACAGGGGTGCAATTAGAGTGCTGCTTCTAGTAAGAATGATTATTAAAGAGAAAGCTCAAGGGATCATTGACCTCAGTCAGTATACTGAGACTAAAACTCCAAAGAATCAGCAGGCCAGAATGAGTGCTACCCCACATGATCAGGTCTGTGAAAACAGCCCAACGTCATTTCAGTGCTACCCACGCACACCTTTGTTTACAGCTACTAGAATGCTTCCTTTGTACCTCCAGGATTCTTCTTGTAGGTTCTTCTGGAGATCTATCAAAGTTTAGCAGGATGTAAAGGCTTTCTCAAAGGGTCCCTTCATCCCTCCCTGTAGAGATGTTCTTAACGAGATTATACATCATCTAGTGTCCCACACAAAGTTCAGCCAGCTCTGGAGCTCAGAGCAGAACTTAGAGTACCCAGGCAGGCATACTCCAGTTTATATTTAGCAGAAGTATGGGGAAAGCTTTTTACCTACAAACCTATGACTGATTCTCATTCACAGAATTGCATCCCCCCGCCCCCCCCCACTTTTTTCATAGAATCATAGAATAGTCAGGGTTGGAAAGGACCGTAAGATCATCCAGTTCCACCCCCCCTGCCATGGGCAGGAACACCTCACACTAAACCATGTCACCCAAGACTCCATCCAACCTGGCCTTGAACACTGCAGGGATGGAGCATTTACTGCTTCTTTGGGCAACCTGTGCCAGTACCTCACCACCCTTGCAGTAAAGAACTTCCTTATATCTAACCTGAACTTCCCCTGTTTAAGTTTTATCCCGTTACCCCTTGTCCTATCACTACAGTCCCTAATGAAGAGTCCCTCCCCAGCATCCCTATAGCCCCCCTTCAGATACTGGAAGGCTGCTATGAGGTCTCCACGCAGCCTTCTCTTCTCCAGGCTGAACAGCCCCAACTTCTTCAGCCTGTCTTCATACGGGAGGTGCTCCAGTCCCCTGATCATCCTTGTGGCCTCCTCTGGACTTGTTCCAACAGTTCCATGTCCTTTTGATGTTGAGGACACCAGAACTGCACACAATACTCCAGGTGAGGTCTCACAAGATCAGAGTAAAGGGGCAGGATCACCTTTTTCCTGTATCCCTTCTTCATCATTCACATGAACTGCATGTATGGACTCCTGCTGAGTTCCCACAGTTAGGGGCCAGCAAACAGGTACTGCAGATGCTGACTTACTCGGGCGCAGACTGCTGCCAGGTGCATGGTGCATCCAGGCTCTGGATGTATTGCAACCATTGTAAGAAGGCAGATTGTGTGAGAAAGTTGTTCAAGCACCTGCTCCATGAGTGAGATATTACAAGGTGAGACATGAAT